CATTTCCCGTATACGCCAGTAATAAGAGTGATTGCAATTTTATCAAAATCCTTTGAGGACAATATTCGTAATTACCTACTCTAAATGAATTGATCTGTGTTATTATTGTAATCAGATAAAGAAAGTACATGTTTCAAATAGATATAAAACATAACTCTAAGAAATGTCAATAAATTCCTTCGGTAAACTTCAATTAATTAACAACTTCAATTAAGTATCTACCGACCACAATTGATCCTAAAAAACAAACCAAACATAAAATAATCCACTTTCTCGAAATCTATCCCGTATTTTTAGTATTATTTATTAAAATTATACTCAATAAATACAATAGCATTGCATTACGATACATTTCTTAGGGCGAGTGACGCAAATTATTCAACATTATTTTGTTCTTTTAAATATGTGGTTTCGCTTAGAGATATCATCATGACAATTTTAATCAACTCCTCAAATCGCATTTTTTTGTCATCTTAGCCAAAGGAGCTATGAGAGAAATATATAGGTTAAAAAAAAGAGCGGGATCAACTTCATAGTATTAATAGAACGCCTATTAACTTTCAAAGGGGCCGGTGGTCCTCGTGCATCTTAACAATTTTTATTCTTCCTATATTGGTTTAAATTGGCCGTATCGCGCTTACGTAAGTGTCCATCATGCCATGCATCAACACTATTCTTAGCTCGTCTTGACCAACGAGATTGCAAGCGCTAATATAAAAGAGCGAATGCTAATTCGAACTCTAACTGTGAGTTTTGTATTGGATATCTCAATTTTCTGTATTCACACTGTGGTTCTAAAATGCTTAAAGTTTGTATCTATACTAATATTATAAAGAGGAAAGATTTGTTTGTTTGTTTGTTTCGAATAGGCTCCGAAACTACTGGACCGATTTGAAAAATTCTTTTGCCATTAGAAGCCGACATTGTCCCTGATGAACATAGGCTACTTTTTTTTTTTTTTTTTTGGTTTCATGTGTGTTTTAATGTTTCCGAAGCGAAGCGAGGGCGGGTCGCTAGTGTAACTATAAGACCGTTACATTAATTAAACATTCAACTGAGAAAATTAATATTTTATAATTTTCTATGTTTTCTTTATTAGTGTGTTGATTCGCTTTGATTTTTTTCTTCGCGTCCCAACTTATTCGCTGGTGGTAAGCCTAGTGGGCTATTTCCGGCTACACCCGAACGGACTTTCATATATTTTGCTTACTTCAATTCATGTTGACTATTCTCGAAGTTTGAAGTAAACATTAATAAATCTAAGTATCTCGCATGGTGTTGATGGCTACAAAGTTTATTAATATTTCAAAATCTCTATCATACGTACTAAATTGTAAATGAGTCGTCTATTATTAAAGGTGGCAATCTGTGCATTTGGACAAAAAAATGTTATTGATATGTCAATACAGATTGATTTGAATATAATCGTCTCCTTCAAAGAATACGGTTCAAAGCCTACATTAAATAAAGGTTAATAGTTAACCTGTTATTTATCTAAGATGTCATTCCGAAGAGTTTTGTGACTGCCAATGGAATACAAAGTCAATAATTCGTTTTTCTGATTTACCAATAATTGTCCAAAAGTCAGATTGCCGGCTTTGAAATAGTCGACTCAAATGAGCCTTTTAAGAAATGATTCTGACGATAAAAAAAAAAAAAAACGAGTAAGACGAATTGATTATTTAGTTCTAATACGTATCTAGTAAACACATATATTGCTCGTTCTATGATATCAACATACACGGGCTGTATGAATGCGATATGGTAGGTATAAAGTACAGTCGAAACTCAAAATTCCTACGCACATTAGCAAACAGGTCACAATTGCCGGAAGTCACTAATACGACTGGATAAGGTCAGCATTGTATGCATGATCTAAGACATCAGTGATGTAATCCTTCGTATTCTCAGGATTTATTTATATCTAGTATCGATTTATACGCGATATAAATATATAGGAGAGGTTCTAAGTAAAAAAATAGTTTTTGTTTTTTTTTTTATTTATTTCAATGTCATATGCTCGTTTTCTATTTCTCCTATTATCTATTGGTGCAAAATAATGATTCCGAATCGTTTATGTTAAGGATCGGTTGTTCTAATTTTTAAAATCACCAACTTCGCAAATCCTCATTGAATATATCAAAGTACCATGGGCTACATACAGAACGCTGCTGGTGAGTTATCATAACAAAATATCCTCGTCCATCGGCTTTGTAAGAGCGATAAAGCTGGATTTGGTCAACAGCATGTCCTCCATTAAAAAAAAGTACCTATTTTTTTTCAATATTCGCAATTCGTGTACAAAATACAAACTTCTTTCAGGCAATTTAGCTATAAATGAAATTTAAAAAATCATTTGAATATTGTGCCAACTAATGTCGGCTAATAACACCTTACCGACCAATACCCCTTGAGGCTACTAGCGGTAAGTAAAAACAATCGATAAATCAATAATTTATTTTGTATGCACTTGCATTATCGGACTAACCGGATACGGCGTCGCGTTGCGAAATATGATTACCTAATAACAATATTACATTAATATCTACTAGTATTTTGCGTTTGACACTCGCCTAGTGGTATCTGTTTCGTCTCCTAATAAACGTCACGAGTGCGTGTGCTTGGGCACGATACAGAAATATTTTCTGAAATAACATAATATACGTAATTTTGTAATGTGCCTACGATCAAATACCATGTATGTGGTAAATAGATGTACCGCGTAAAATAAATTTAAACGGCCGTCTGGTGTAGTGGTAAGTGACATGGTCACTACACAAGGGGGTCGCGCGTTCGTATCCCGCCAAGGGAAGATATTTGTATGATAAATATAAAAATGTCTTTTCCAGGGTTATGGAGGTATATTAAATATATGTATGTGTATAATAAAAATCTTACATTTATATCCGTTATCTGGTACCTGTAACACAAGTTCTTTACGAACTTATCACGGGACCAGTTAACGTGGCGTGATTGTTAGTAAATATCTATTATTTATTTATTTAAATAAATTAAAACAATGAAGATATTGTAGTATCGATCTTTTATTACTCTGCAATGTCATTAATATATTAGTATAGTACCTTTACTAAGTTCAAAATAAACATATCACAGTACACGTATAATCTTAACTTAATGACTATTTTACCGGTTTCATTGACCCCATTTGTTGGTCATACCAATCGCGCCAAGGTACTTTTGTAGATAACCTTGGTACTTGCGATTGATATGGAGTTAGCATTGCCTCATATGTGAACGACAGTTTTTTTTTGTTGCTTAGATTGGTGGACGAGCTCACAGTCCACCTGATGTTAAGTGGTTACAGGAGCCTATAGACATCTACAACGTAAATGCGCCACCCGCCTTGAGATATTTCTAGATAGTTCTAAGGTCTCAAGTATAGTTACAACGGCTGCCCCAGCCTTCAAACCGAAACGCATTACTGCTTCACGGCAGAAATAGGCAGGGTAGTGATACCTACCCGCGCGGACTCACAAGAGGTCCTACCACCGGTAAATTATAATAAATAAAAATTATTTAAAACCTTAAATAAAAAAAAAAAATCTAATTTGCATTTAAATAAAGTGAGAAAATCGTATAGTTTTGTAATAAACATACTTATTACTGAGTTAGCGGGAAGTGTACTTCAAAACTAAAACTACTGTTACTACATTGCAATATCTTTAATACAACCCTTCATGTATGTATGCATCGAGAGTTATTTCGTTAAAAAAATAGCTTGTACTGTCAAATTTTATATAATTATCTATATTTTTATCAGTTTCTATGTATATTTTTTCATTTTATTTCTATCCAATATAAGCGATGGTGCGGTAAACAGGTTAATCATAACTTTTAATATAAGAAGACTTCAACCGGCTCTGTCACTTACTATATTATTTTCAATATAAATGTTATTCCGTCGGTATTTCAGAATAAATAAATAAAACTTAAATATTATACATTTAAATTCACATCTCATTCTCAGGACCGAATTATACATGATATTCTGTTTATTGCATTAATTTAAAAACTTTGCTTTGCCAAACGTCGACTTTTATGTGTTAAATGAGCATTTTGTGCAAGGTTACCAGAGCATTCACATGACATCATTTCTGATCGAATTAAAACGAGTTTAACTTCGTCATGGCCGAAGAGTCTGTGGTTACGATGACGTCATTGACACCTGGTTATATAGGTGGTGTTGAAATATGTTGCACTAATTCTGTTACAGAATTATAGGATAGAGTTGTTTTCCCGTGTTCAGAATTCAGCTTATTTATTTTATTTGTTACACTTCTTGTAATGTTTATATTGGCGGACTTAATACCTAAGGCATTCTGTATCTGTCAAATAAAGCTTTGTTAATAAACTGAATTTTTTTTTTATTCGTTCTGTCTAATAATTTCATGAAAATGTAATCTAAGTAAAGACAGAATTTACGCTTTAGCCATTTTCGCGAGCCACTGCCATTTCCTATTTTAGTCAATTTTAGTAAGCTTAAGCTTTAAAAAAAACAATAATTGACAAAAAAATTATATTAGGCATCTTAAATGAAAATCTAAAGTAATCGATTCGACCAACAATATACTGAGATAATATTTTTGTGTTGGAGATTTAAAGTTCGCCCGAATACCTGAAAGAAAATGGGACTAACAAATTTTTAAGGTATACAAATAAAAATAATTGTTGTCCATACACTTGATAGGTATTATAAAATGAATAAAACCATTCCAAATCTCATTTATATTGTACCCTTTCGTGCACAGACTAGCTCGGGCCATTTAGTGACCAATATCGAACGCCCTGAGAAGACTGACAATGTCATGTTCATTGAGGACAGGAACGAATGGAGGAAAAGTGCAAACAAAAATGCTCCATAAAGGTCACGACCCTCAGTACTGAGGTACACTACGAAAGGAGCAGTTCATATCCATGAACGACAGTAACAGCTATTGTAAAAATTTGAAAGAGTTCATTGTTGTCGTTTTTTGTTTCAGGCACTTACGTGTTCGTGCGTGGCTCTCCATTACCACAGTTACAATGCAGATGCGGATATCGGCATGCTCGTCACCGGTACCTTTGTCGGGTACCTCATCATATTCGCTGGTGCGGCCGCGGGTGAGTTATCAATCAAATGATTTCCAATCGAATTTTCGATAATACAGGCTTGTTCGAAATGTAAACTTCGAATGAAACCTAATTTACGTATTGCCTTACTCTCTTCTTCTTTTTCTCCACCTTATCTCACTAGGTGGGGTCGGCACAGCTAATTTTTCTTTTTGATTCTCTTCTATCAGCCGTCATCTCAACACTCGCTCCTCTCTCTCTCTCATATCGTGATTCACACACTCCATCCATGTCTTCTTCGGTCGACCTCTTCACCCTCTACCTTGCACTACCATTTCCATACCACGCTAACCGTACGCTCTTTAATTTGTTGCTTACCGGGGCTACTTTCACATTTTCTCCTAGTCTGAATAATACTTACCTTGCCTTACTAGTCTGAATAATATAAGTTAAGTGTTCTTTTCAGTTTTCTCTAGTCGTAGACATAATTAAATCTACTTTCGTTCCCAATTTTTTGTGGTCACGGAACGTCCGTCGCCACGAAAATCGGTCACCGTCCTTGTCGAACTCATCCAATACGTTTATACTACGAACGAGCGAACTAACCTATAAACAAGACCCATTGAGCTTCTCGCCGGATCTTTTCAGTGGGTCGCTATTCCGATCCGATGGTAGATTCTGCGAAGTGCTCTCTTGCTAGGGCTAGTGTTAGCAAATTCTCTCAGGTCGAGCCCGTGAGCTCACCTACTCGTTCGTAGTAGGAATAGCCCTTTAGGCAATCAGCAAAAGCAAAAACCACGAAAACTGTAAGTATTACCAACGTCGGTAATAATGTATTGTACGACACTGAAACCCGTGAGATTAAAACAAAAAAGTGGTGTGAAAATATCATTATTTTTTTTTATTGCTTAGATGGGTGGACGAGCTCACAGCCCACCTGGTGTTAAGTGGCAACTGGAGGTCATAGACATCTACAACGTAAATGCGCCACCCACCTTGAGATATAAGTTCTAAGGTCTCAGTATAGTTACAACGGCTGCCCCACCCTTCAAACCGAAACGCGTTACTGCTTCACGGCAGAAATAGGCAGAGTGGTGGTAACTACCCGCGCGGACTCATAAGAGGTCCTACCGCCATACATTAAATACTTGTCTCATGAAGAACATTATTCTAATCAGAAACTAAATATAAACTTTTCAGGCTACATAATGCAGACTCCTTCACACAAACGGATCGACATCTTCTATTCGCTGGTCGGCGTTGCCTTGTTCGTCGCTAGCGGTGCCATTATTATTGACAGGTCGGTATTTTATAATTAACACAGTTTGTCTGTAGAATCTCTTTACACTCAGAATGTAAAATAAATAATAGTTTAAAAAAAACTAACAAAATACGCTTTTATAGAAAATCCAACTGAAAAATAGAAAATAAATATTAATAAATTTAAATCAGAAATAGTGTAAGATAAAATAATTTTATTGTAAAAAAAAGCGTGGGGTGCTTTTCAGGATATTATCAAAATAATCCTTCTACTCATATCTGTTCATATCTGTTCATAAAATATTTATAACTACTGATACCATGCATCCTACGCTTTTTTTTAATATATTAAAGATTTTATTCAAAAATTTTTTGAATAAAATCATTTTTTCTTACACTATTTTTGATTTAAATTTATTAAAATTTATTTTCTATTTTTTAGTCGGATTTTCTATAAAAGCGTATTTTGTTAGTTTTTTTAAACTATTATGTATTATTCATTTTTTAGTTGATTTTAAATTTTTTCAATATATATATTTTTTTAATATTGCATTGTCATCGGTCCTTAATAAGTATTCCAAATTTCGAGTTAATCCGACGTTTTGAAAGAGGTCAAAATCATGTTCAAAGATTCCGTTACAAACATACATACGTCTGAAGCTAATAAAAGCGTATTAAAAAGGCATGACGATAATTTACGGGTGGGGACGTATGTAGCGATGTGAACCGATTACAATTTCTGGCTCCGGTTTATTACCGATTTGTTTCTCAAAAAACCAGTTTCTTAAGGTACTTTTAGGTTTTTTCCATAAAGTCTAAATAATCATTAAATAAAACAAATTTACGTGCAAACGAAGAGTTTTCTTCATACAATTAATAGAGTGAGCATATTTTATATAGGCTTAATGGTCATATTTATATTATCCAATAATAAAAAGCTTTTTATTTTTGATTTAATACTATTGTATTTTTTTCAAAGTAGGTTTTTCTTATATTTTACATGGTAATTGTACTGTAGTTTTTAAATGTAATGCACGGTAATTTGAGTCTGAAACACGGTATTTTTTATCTAGCAGCACGGTAGTTTGTATATTTGATCTGGCAGTACTGGTGTGAACTGTGAATGTAAGGCGTACTTCAAAACCGATATTCTTAAATAAAAACCGGTGTTTACCGGTATCTATGAAAACCGGTTTTTCTCCGGTTTTCTTCGAACCGGCTTACATCCCTAGTCGTATGCTCGATCGATAACAGTTGCAAAAAAAAATTCAACTAATAAACCACTAAAATAATAAACAAATATCTTGTAGACAAATTAATAATAATATAATTCATTTCAATTTGTGTGTGCTTCATTTATTCGATTGAGAGGGAATTTTGTATAGATGTTGTTGGCACATTAGGGAAAATTCCTGCCATACCAACAGCTTACGATAAGTAAAGTTTCAGTTAACTATTTGTCACAAAGATACTTTATTTACATCTCAATATACCTATTTAATTCTTCTGTACGTTAGTGAACTACTTCTAAACGGCTGGACCGATTTTGATAATTTTTTTTGTGAGCGATCTAAACGATTCGAGAATTTTTTAGATACGCAATTCGGTTCACTACAAAATATAATACAGTGCAACCTTAATATAACGAACCTCAATATAATGACCTCCTCGATTTAGCAAATTTTTCGTTATTTTGACTGATGGTAGGACCCCTTCTGAGTCCGCGCGGGTAGGTACCACCACCCTGTCTATTTCTGCCGTGAAGCATTAATACGTTTCGGTTTGAAGGGTAGGGCAGCCGTTGTAACTATACTAAAGTCCTTAGGACTTATATCTCAGGGTTGGTGGCGTATTTACATTGTAGATGTCTATGGGCTCCAGTAATCACTTAACACCAGGCTGTGAGGTCGTCCACCCATCTAAGCAATAGAAAAAAAACCCTCGAATTATCCATAAGAGTCAATGTAAAATATACCTTTACATTGCGAAGATTTTTTGCGAAGAACCTCTTTATAATGAATTTTCAACTATCAAAAAAAGTGTAAATACCTTTCATTTTGCGCTAGGCAGCGGCTTGGCTCTGCCCCTGGCATTGCTGAAGTCCATGGGCGACGGTAACCACTCACTATCAGGTGGGCCGTATGCTCGTCTGCCTACAAAGGCAATAAAAAAAATAACGAATTTTATCAACCCAAAACTTTTATATAACGTTCCTACCAATATATTCTGATCCTAAATCCCATAGTATGTGAATCAGTCTCGGCAGGTTTGAAAAAAATTGTTACCTACCTAATTGTTTTTAAATAGAAAATACATACAGTGATTTATTTTATTTTATTTTATTTATTTATTTAGACACACCAACAGCAATACACACAAAACATTCAAGCATAAAATTAACATGTATAAAATTAAGTACTGGTATGTAAGCCAGTTACAGGCATGTACAGCAATCTCTTATAACACACTATGACATGTTACAGCAATTTTACAAACAGCGGAAAAATTTAAATGTTAACAGCACGACATAAAAAAAAATTTTGAACAGAACAAATTTGATAAAGATGTATTATCATTTATTAGTAGAAGTTGTTCGCTATAACAAGATGAGTTTTGTAATGTTGAGGTGAATAAAACTATTTTGTTTTACCTGGTTATAACAAATGGTAGGCCAATCTAACCTTAATATAACAAACCTCAGTCTATCGAATTACTTGATATAACTTTTAATTACTTGTTCCCTTCCGATTTGTTATATCGAGGTAGCACTATAATAATATTTTTAATGAAATTTGGAAATTTTCGGACTTAAGCCTTAAGGAATGATTTAAAACGCGAGGAGAATGTCTGTCGGGTTCGCTAATAGCAGCTAAGATATAAGGATAGTATGCTCGAATCAGTCGCTATTAATATCCAAGTAAGTCTCTATTAATGTCAGTGGTGGTAGGACCTCTTGTGAGTCCGCGCGGGTGGGTACCACCACCCTGCCTATTTCTGCCGTGAAGCAGTAATGCGTTTCGGTTTGAAGGGCGGGGCAGCCGTTGTAACTATACTTGAGACCTTAGAACTGATATCTCAAGGTGGGTGGCGCACTTACGTCATAGATGTCTATGGGCTCCAGTAAACACTTAACACCAACCATTTGAGAATGTTCACTCAGAAGTTATTCTAAAAATAAAATTTTGTGCTCGTTAATACGTACAATCTTTTTTATTAAGGGATTTTATGACCTGGTAATTAAGACCTTTAGGTCAAGTCTCATTTTAATATACGTACAATAAATTTAATCGTAATGTTAATTATGTTACAGATTCCAACATTATGGTAAGAGCGAGATCAAAGACAAGAATTTGGCTAAGGCGTCGTTGGCTATCATCAATGGCGCTATCTTACTTGTTGATGCTGTCCTCACGCAACGAGGAGGCTAAACTACGTACACAAAATAGAGCTGCACAATCAGAAAACGATTTCAAATGCTGCATACAAATACAATGCTGTCTTATTAGGATTACTATGGTCCGCCTAATAATCTGAATTCCACCGCAATCACTGTTACCTCAAGATTTCTATACAAATGTTTTGTTTAGTAATTGTTTTTTTTTTCGTGTAAAGGTGGTAAGAAAACTGTCTTTTGATTGGTAACACTAAAGCTAATAAACACCAAAAAAAATTTCTGGTTTCCGTTCAAAACGTACAAAAATTTCGCCTTTTTAACACCAAAAAAAATCGAACACAGGAGAAAAGTGTACTGAATTGTTTTGTCTTTATTTATGTACAGATTTGTAATATATTACAAATCCTGAAAAATAATCATATTAAATGACGAGGAAAATAAAAGAAGGTTTGTATTCAATTATTTGTGCAGCATTTTTTTTTCTTAATTGTTTTATGTTGTTTATGGAGACGTGTCTTTAGTCTTTAATGATAAAATAAACATTCGTACCGTGTCTTATGTTTTAAATGTTTAAAAATGGAATTTTCAAAAAAAAAATTATGTTTCAAAATCAAAATACACTTGAACATAGAACCTCCTTCCTTTTTGAATTGACTAAAGAACTTAGTAATTAAATTAGAGAGTATCATCACAATTTGCTTTTACCTTAAATACCAAAAGAAGGCTTTCACAGGAATTCACTTCATATTGAAAGGTTTTTTTGAGTTTTCATTTGAAAAGCACCTTTCATGTAACAAACACACCAAAGATTTCTTCAATGAATAAAGACACGTCTTTGTAAATACGTCAAAGTACCTAAAGTAATTTATTCAGTTTCAACTAAGAGTCTCCATTTTTCGTATTTAACACAAAAAATATATAGATTTTGTCATAAACCTGTTAATATGTATCTTTTTTTAATTCGTCCGTATTTTTTTTTATAAATGCATTTCTTATCGTATAAGTTCAAAATACTTTTAAATTTACTGTAACTCACGAAATTTATTTCAAAAAACACCATAGTAGAATTACAAATAAAGGCACTGGCACTATGAGCCTGCCCAGGCCTGCTTGGTAGTATTTGGTAGTATTGTGGTACCTATACCATACCATAATCCTGCCAAATTAAAATTGGGGCTTTGACTTTCGTAATACCGCCATCGATATGAAAGTGGTGTTGGTTAAAATAAAAAAAAACTGGCTTTCCTTTAAACCATTGTTAAGCTTAAAATCTTAGCTACCTTATCACTGCATATATTGAATTTCCTACCGATTTTAAGTTGTTTGTTGAATCAAATTCTATTAATGTTATTTCTTGTTAGCAGATGAATAAACGTGTTTGAGAACTCGATATTAATAGGAACACGCTAGAAGTAAATTATGCCATTTTAAACTTTTCGCTTTTGAATATTTTTTGCAATAAGTATTCAAATTGTATAACCGGCTAAGAGTGTTTAATATTTAATGTAAGTGTAATGCTGTGTCTTAAATGTATATTTTTATATGTCTTGTAACTCTTTAAAATATATTTATACACGTTCATCTTAGATAAAAAAAATAAGGTTATTAGTACCTCTATTACTACTTGTGAACAATTTACATAAGTTTTGATAACACCATTTAAATGTTTTTTATGTGCGTATGTGGAACCGCTTAATTAAATGTAAGATAATCAAATGTGTTTTATTCCACTTTTTGAAAAATTTTCAGTTCTGTCTAAAATCATGCTTATATTCAATGTTTTTTTATACAACAGATATGTTATCTTCACAGTAACTGACTCTTCAAATCTAATCGCGCCATATATATCTACATCCCTACCGATATAGTGCACACACATGTTGACAAGTAGCATTAATGAAAAGTACAAAAGATGGGATAAGCGCGTGAGTAAAAAAGATAGCTATAATTGGAACGATTGCACTTGTTATTATATTATTATTGCATTTGTTTAGACGCGACTAAAAACGAAACGTCCCAATTGGCCTGTTTTCGAGTCTTCACTTGACGTGCGCTTGAAACATATCTGCTTCTTTTTACATATAAAATATCATTGCTTATATTATTATCAGTAGCGACTCATTAATTTTTCCAACCGAAGAGTTTGTATGTAAATAAATCTAATTCTATGTTTGGGTTTTAATGGTATTTCGTCATTAATCAAAAAGAAAAGTAAATTACATGAGTATCCATTACACTGACTATTTTACGAGAAAACATTCTAGACGCAGTACAGCATTTAAAAGTCCAGTATTACGTGAAGTATACCTATATAAGAAGTTCTTCGTGTTCAATAATGAAAATTTTACCATTCTTACTAACGATAAGTGTCACTTCGTGTATGAGTTACAATAAATTGTTAAAAAAAGCTGCTTCTGTTTGCGATTCAGTCTTTTATCATGAGTACGTTACGTCAGTGGTATGGATGCGCACCGAGCCTGAAGATATTACTCTATTCCTCCAACATTTTCACGGTTCTGCGGTAATAGTTCCTTTAGACTATCAGAACATGAAAGCAGTGAGCGAACTAAATAAAGCCACGGGATTTAAACAAACAGTTCTCTTCGCTGTATCCGTTGAAGAATTCATACTTTTCATAACAACGTTAAATTTGGATCTCATAGTACCAATTCGTATGGTTTTAGTATTAACAACACAATTAACGGATCTGGCTATGATAACAAAGGAAGCTTGGAAACATGATTTAGCAGAAATTATTATAATAAGCAAAGATGAAAATGAAGAAATCCGTCTCACTACTTACTTTCCGTACAAAAATGGAATTTGTGGTGATTACACTCCACATTCTATTTCTAACGAAAAAGAGTTATTTCCTGAAAAATTCAAAAACTTGCATGGTTGCCCAATAAAAGTCACTTTACTTAATTTTCTTCCGTATGTTGGATTGCAAAAAGTAAACGGAACTATTACATTCATATTTGGCATAGATGGAAGTGTATTTATTTTATTAATTAAAGAACTTAACGCCATTATGGATATCGTATCGTCAACTGACCACGGAGGTATGGGTGTCTTTGTCAACGGCTCTTGGAAGGGCTCCTTCGGTGACATAGTTCGTCGAGAAGCAGATATATTCGCGCCTGCTGGGATTATTACACAGAAAAGATTTTCAGTGGCACAAATGTCTCATACTTATGAAACACTTAATATTCATTGGTGCGCACCACCCCGACGTGAAATCTACGCATGGGCAAAAGTATTATTACCATTTCTGACTAACATTACGCCTTTTCTTGTATTAGCATTTTCCGTTTTCGTGATTACCATAGTTCTCGTCAAACGTTCTAAATTACATGGTATAAAATCTAACAAGAATGTGTTCTTACAGTCTTTCATGATTTTTTTAGGCCAAGGTGTAAAATTTGAAACGAAATCGTCAGTTATAAATTCCTTTTTTGTTGCATGGTTATGGTTTTGTCTCGTAGTGCGTATCGCGTATCAAGGAGATCTTGTTAATGGCCTACAAAAGAAAATTTACGAACCACCTTTCGAATCGGTTGAGCAGGCGCTCCAAGAGTTGGACGGATATGGAGGAACCGAACTATTTCGTGAATATTATGCTGGCTCTCCGATAGCAGATAACTATCAGGTAATCAAAATAGGAGACTTGCCACGGTACATAAGGGATGTAATTGCCGGTAAGCGGTTTCTCATCGCGACAGACATATTAATGCATCAATACGCGAAGAAATTTCAGATACTTCAAGAGCCTTTGACGCATTCTCCGACATGCTTGTTCATGCGACCCGGCTGGCCAGTTTCTAGAAGAGTAGACGTCATAATTATACGAGCTATTGAAGCAGGGCTTGTGCAGAAGATTATTTATGATTTCCACTACACAGTTCGATTACGAAGACACGAAAAAGAAGAAGAGACAGGGACTAGGCCATTAGGAATGTCAACAATGTTCGCATGCTATTACGGTCTCATACTGCTTTGGATATTTTCTTTCGTAATATTTTTATTTGAAGTTTTATATTACAATTGGAAGCACAAAATAGCGTATGTTAAAAGGAAACGAAATAAGCTTTTCAAATTTCATCACTGATTCCTGTCGGTCATAGGAACAATTTTACGAGCCTATTTTAATAATGTAGCACTTTTAAATGTACCTTTTGGTTTTGAGCATTTGTAAAATGTCACGGAATATTATCTAGAGCTGCAAGTAACAAAAATTAGTCTGTGGTTATTAGTCTCTTATTAGTCTATGAGTCACAAACTAAATAAAATGGAAAACGCACTGAAAACGCGTATGTAATAAATAGATAAAAGATTTCAGAGGGTCGCGATTCCGATCTCGTGGTAGATTCTGCGAAGCACTGCTTTTGCTAGGCCTAGTGTTAGAAAATTCTCTCAAGTTGAGCTCATAAGCTCACCTACCCGTCTGCGATGAATAGCCCCTTAGGCTACCAGCGAGTAGGTAGGAAAAAACAAATAGACTTAGTATTGGTAGTATTGTTGTCAATGTCCAGAAATATCTTATAAGTATTTATTTCAGGAGCCACGTCGAATGACACAAACAATTAACTCGTCAGTAGCCGCATCGGTCTAAATAATTCTCAAAGCTAAATAGAACCCACTAGCTCTAAAATGTAGTGAAACGGTTAGAAACAGTTAGAAATCCTCTAGCCATTAATTTCTGATTCGCATTTCCGAAATGTCCTAACTAAATTTTATTACTGATTGTTATACATATGATTTTTTGTTATTCGATGCATAATTATCAATTAGCAAGCTGCACCATAAATGAGTCGTCTATTATCAAAGGTGGCAATCTGTGCATTTGGACAAAAAAATGTTATTGATATGTCAATACAGATTGATTTGAATATAATCGTCTCCTTCAAATAATACGGTTCAAAACCTGCATTAAATAAAGGTTAATACTTAACCTGTTATTTATCTAAGATGTCGTTCAGAAGAGTTTTGTGACTGCCAATGGAATACAAAGTCAATAATTCGTTTTTCTGATTTACCAATAATTGTCCAAAAGTCACANAAAATGTTATTGATATGTCAATACAGATTGATTTGAATATAATCGTCTCCTTCAAATAATACGGTTCAAAACCTGCATTAAATAAAGGTTAATACTTAACCTGTTATTTATCTAAGATGTCGTTCAGAAGAGTTTTGTGACTGCCAATGGAATACAAAGTCAATAATTCGTTTTTCTGATTTACCAATAATTGTCCAAAAGTCACATTACCGGCTTTGATAATAGTCGACTCAAATATAGGTATGTGTATTTTTTAATTGCGAACACACTGTTTCGGAATATTTAAGTTACCGACCCAGTTCTATTGAATTCTATTAATGAATGTAATTTTCACCTTCACAGAAGTCGTGACCGGAAACGCTTTACAGGCAAATGTATTTTATTGCAAATAATTTCATTTTTTCACATATCGTCAACAAACCGAAAATGTTATTATTCTATCTATGCTTTGTTGTATCTCGCCCAAATTTCGCCAGACGCCATATGGTAGACGAAATATTTGCACTTCGTCGACAATACGTACATGTGTACATAATAATATAGGTATAGTGACTTTATTCATTTGTAGTTTTATTTTAGACCATTTTTAAAATTTAATTATTACCTAGTATAATAATAATGTAAATAGATAAAAAAACATAGTACATTATTTAGTTTTGTGTTCAAAGATTATATATAAATAAAGTCAGTTTCGTTGTTAAGTTTGAAAATTGAGTAAAGTGTAAATTTTTTATTGTCTCTGGGTATTGTAAATAGCATGATATGCTGGAGCACTACTGCGTAAATAATAAACTAGTTTTAGGATAACACACAATTTTTTTAAAATATAATTTAAGGTGTTCTTAAAATTTACGAATAAATAGAATGGATTCTACCTATTATATATAGGTATTATATATACTACCTATTATATATATATTCGTTATTATACGTTATGTCAATGTGTATCATTATAGGGTTTTGTGATGCACCTAGTTTTTTAAATTTTTTTATTGCTTATATGTGTGAACGAGCTCACAGCCCACCTGGTGTTAAGTGGTTACTGGAACCCATAGACATCTACAACGTAAATGCGCCACACACCTTGAGATATAAGTTCTAAGGTTTCAGTATAGTTACAACGGCTGTCCCACACTTCAAACCGAAACGCATTACTGCTTCATGGCAGAAATAGGCGGGGCGGTGGTACCTACCCGTGCGGACTCACAAGAGGTCCTACCACCAGTAATTACGCAAATTATAATTTTGCGGGTTTGATTTTTATTACACAATGTTATTCCTTCACCGTGGAAGTCAATCGTGAACAATTATTGAGTACGTATTTCATTAGAAAAATTGGTACCCGCCTGCGGGATTCGAACACCGGTGCATCGCTCAACACGAATTCACCGGACGTTCTATCCTTTAGGCCACGACGACTTCAATTATTTAATTAAGATGCATCAAAGATATGTAAATAAATTTTCTTGCATTGTTTTCCGTAAAAAGAACACTCGGAATCACGACATAAAGGAGGAAATAGCCTTGATAAACGAAAACTTACTGGTCCTTAAACAATTTAACAACACGATTACATTCATCAATCAAGTAATTTATATGAGAAACTGAGGTGGAGACCAGCAAATACAATATCAAGAGGAACTCCATTTGCCGATGAAAAGCAAACACAGGTAAACCTCATTCCGTCGAACCAATCGCAACTTACCCGCAAATTGTGCATAATTCAAATCGAATTTGAAATAGCTTTGGTAAACTGTAGTCCTTATTAGCTTCGGACATGTTTTCTATTTTGATGGATACAGATTTAAACATATTCACATTATTATGAATATACAAAAGAACAAATAAAATGTATTTTAAATTTATCTTTCTCGTATTTGATAATTTAAATTCTGGTGTAAAAGTGTACAATGATAAAATGCAAATTATCGATTAAAAAATGAATGAAGTAAAAAAAATATTAAAAGAATAAACAGAAAATTCCCTTCGGATGGCACGTTACGATGAATTAACTACTGGTGATATACCCAAAGAATGTATTATTTTGAAATTTGATTAACATTAAAAAGGTTATTATAGTGAATCAATCTAAAAAATAGACTTAAGCTACTTACTTAGAAGTTTTTAATAGGAATAATTCTGTTTTATTTATTGTTGCGTTATTATTATTATTATTATAATATATTTTTTTATTGCTTAGATGGGAGGACGAGCTCACAGCCCACCTGGCGTTAAGTGGTTACTGAAGCCCATAGACATCTACAACGTAAATGCGCCACCAACTTGAGATACAAGTTCTAAGGTCTCAGTATAGTTACAACGGCTGCCCCGCCCTTCAAGCCGAAACGCATTACTGCTTCACGGCAGAAATAGGAAGGGTGGTGGTATCTTCCCGCGCGGACTCACAAGAGGTCCTACCACCAGTAAAAAGTATTTTAACTGTTTACGCAACTCACGCAATGGAATAAAATTTCCCCGTTTTTTCAACATCTTGCATGATGTTATAACTAAATGGGCTATCCGACATTAAAAGAAATTAATAAATTTTTCATTCTGAACTAGTAATTCCTGATATTAACGCGTACAAACAAACACACAAGCAAACAAACTCTACAACTTCAAAATATTATCATAGATTAATTAATATTACATGAATATTAATGAAGAATATATATACATATTACATTAATGAAGAAATTTGGTACAATATACTGAAAAGGATATAATTATGATACCTTTCATACATAAAAAGTACTATAGTCGACGACTTACCATACTATATGAATGTTAGCGATGCCGCGTGTATACGCTAGTTTAACATAAAACTAATATTTCCGAATTTCAAAAGTCAAATCCGTACAAGTTGTTTTCATTTTATTTGATTGTTCCAAATGAAAACATAAAGTTTACATTTTAACCAAGAGAATGTATGTAAATAATATAGATATTGTTCCCGATTTATATTCGAAGACGTCATGATATCAGCTTTTCGATATTCCAAATGCTTTCATTGTTTTGTAGAAATTGTATTCGTTTGTAATATTAAGTTTATTTTAGCCTGCTTTTAGATTATGGATTTGTATTTTATTTAAAAAGGAGTACATATATAAACATTTTCATTTCTAAACTATGAGGTACAGGATAATCCGTGTAGTCAGTAAACATTAATGTGTATATATAAAATCGATGCCTCCAATGAACACTAGTCTAACTCAAAATTTTGAAATTTTCGTTTTTCACGCAAATCGCTTCACTATGTTAAAAGTATTACAATTAATCATTATTAATGGGGTTCGAAGCAAGAGTAAATCAGCTAGCTACACAAAAAAGCCATAAATATATCTGCAATAATAAAGATTTTATCACCTTTTTTCGTTTAAATGCTCCTCCTGTAAATCTACGAATTTGGAGTTAGCGCAGTGTTCATTGGACGCATCGTAAATGATATTACATATGTTTGCCAGTGTACGCGCATGACGCATAAGCCACTGGATAGACGTCGGGTAATACTTTGCCTGGGCACTTGTTTCTTATCCAAAAAAAAGGCACGCTTTCTCCATTTAGTACCTATAAAGCTATTAAAGTTTAAAATTACGCGCTTTAACGTTAACTCAAGACTGATGGCGTTATTAGTATTCTGAATCGCGCTATGATTGTTACATATGTATAATAACTCACCCAGACGAAGACACAGCTATTCACTTAATAAGTATCGAGATCCACTTTGTAGATACATCTTTTGTAATAAAACACAGCTGTTTCTAAAAGTAAACCGCACTTTTTATATTTAAAGTGAAGAAAAAGAGGTCAGAGACGATACATATAATCTGAATGAATTATTCGAATTCGAAGTGGAAAAGTTTCGCATGAGAATAATGTACGTACGTTCGCTTGTTCAGGAGCTCATACGTTACAGATATCCGGATTCTACACCATAACCGTAAATCTTTAATAGTCATTTTAAGTATGAACGGAAAATTTTTGAAGTACGACTTCTTTGGAAAGTTTTGAAGAACCATTTAACCTCTTTGTCAGATTATACGGTGCATTCTCTAAT